TACTGTAACACATAGAAAATAATTCGAGATAATTTCGTTACAATAGTTGCCCAATCTCGTGCACCCCTAATCAATAAGTTCTTTTTGGTAAGGTGGAACGCCGGCGTTTTCTTCGAAATCGTCATCGCTTCGACTGCGGTTTTTCTGATAACCTACTGGTGGAACACAATTTCGTTTTAGCAGATAGGCGCACAAATGAACTTCGGTTGCCAGGAACTAAATTTTTGGGAGGACGTAATTTAAAGTACGATTAATGAATAGCAGGCTTAAATTGTCGAAATTCTTGAAAACACAAACAGTTGACCAAAGTCAGCTTGGAATGGATATGAAGGTTTTACGTTCTCACGTGTGTTTCTAAGTTTTGGATTTCTAGGACCATTTGATCCTTGTCAGTGTAAGCACTGATCACCTAGAGTTCATCAAGCACTAAGGATTACAGTTTGTAATTTCTTGAAGTATGACAAAGCAGTCAGATTACTGTAGCACAATGGAGTAATAAGTTCGCTTATTTCTTCTGTTAGAAGCCCAATGTAAAAATTTGTAATTGCACATTTCTGATTTGGTAAGGCTTGTAAGCATGTGTGGTGCGAGAATTAAAGGGAACCAATTATAGGCGAGTAAAAGCTGAGATGGCTCCTATAACTGCAAGAACGTGGTGCTCTCATGCAGAGGAGAGAGAGAGAGGATAAAGATGAATATTTATAAATCCAATAACTCTAACTTTCATCCAGCCTGGAATTGACCTGTGTACATTGCGCCGTTTGAAAAGGCGTTGTACCTTAATTAACATTAGCCCGCTTACAAACCGGGAACCCGTCGGCGTCAAGCGTCGACCTTGGCCTGTTGTCTCATCGAATCGCGCACTCTATCGGTGCATTTCGTTACTGTCATGCACTATTTCGTCGTCGTCTAGCAGCGGAATCACCGCCCTACTCGACTATAAAAGGCAACTCGCCTCAGGGAGATACCAGGTGGGCATAGCATCTCACACAACAACGGTAAGTCATCTTACCATTTGTGTATTCGTTTCAAACTCTCGCTCTGCTCACCTCAGCAGCTTTTAATGATTCTGCTACTATAATCGTATCAGATTTCGTTATTTCACTGCTTCTATGCTTTTATTACTCGCTATAAAAACCATTCCATTGCGTACAGTGGACT